TAGGTAGGTAGGTAGGTAGGTAGGTAAGTAGGTAGGTAGGTAGGTAGGTAGGTAGGTAGGTAGGTAGATATAGAGAAAGAGAGAGAGGGGGGTTTAGGGTAGTAAGTTTTTATCGCAGATCTGCCGACCTCTGACAAGTAAGAAAATGTTCTTGTTCAATCAACTTGACATTCTCTTTACGTAGCCCGATCGACGGATCTTTTATCAGACTAGAGATGTACAAAAAGCAACGGAGCTTATCGTCATCTTGGCAGATTAGAGGAAGTAACTTATTCTATGAATGAAGGATTCAGCCAGGCATACACAATTTCAAGCCGTCAGGAAGGCCAGCTATGCAAGTAGCTAGTCTGTAGGGCAGGCAGACGATTAGGCAATCAGCTATCGGTTCCACTCTGCAAACAACTTTGTTGAGTCCTTCCTGATGCTGGCAGCCTTGTTCTATGCTGGAGGTAGAGACACAACGTTTGCGCGGCCCGGCAAAGCAGAGTACAGCACAAATAAGCATTAAATTAGGACTTGGCGGATAAGTGAAAGTGAATATTTATCGAGAGTATGTGGAATAAGTAGAGAATTTTGCTGTTTTATCGGTAAAGACTGGAAAGCAAGAGAGCGAGCCTGCCAGACTAGTCATTCTCTCTTCCTCCTGTAGGAAAGCATCTGATCGGTTAAGCAAAATATACAACTTTAATTCCTAAAATATACGAGCCCTCTAAAGAGACAATTTACTTGGAGATGTTATTAAACGGGACAGGACAAAGTATGTAACAATAAGCAGTAAATGGGAGAAAATCATCCTGAATAATTCAGTGTGTAAAAAAACTCTTAAAATATGCAACGAGGTCAACTTTGGCCTCGTAAGGTCTTGGGAAAAAAGAATGTCTCGATCATGAGTGCTTCATCAAGGAGCTGTAGTGAAGCATTCAGATGATAAAAAGCCTCATTTCTGCCAGTTTTGCCTTGGAGCTTTTTCAACGAAATTGAAAGCAAGCTTACCGGATACCAAGGCAACATTAGATGCAGCTACCTCGTCTCTTCCTGTATCAATAAAAGGCAATAACAAAGAGATTTTCTTTGTCCTAAATTAGTTCCTTCTGCTTAAACGTCGATGAGAGCGGGACAGGTCGATTAAGACTAAAAGAGGATCAGATATCTAAACATTTTGGCCAATTTTACTACCTGACATCCGACATTTCGCCTAATTGCCAATGTTTGAAACGAACATGCGCGGGAAAAAAAGCTAATAACCTTGTCCAGATGCATTAATGTCGGTAAATACAAGAACTAGATATATCCTGCTGAAAATCACGAATACTATGACAAATGAAAGTGAACTAGGTACCTTCCACAAGGTTGCCCGATGCACCTACCAAGTTGCGAAAATGCAGTTGAACCAAGACTAGATATATCCTAGTCCGCATGTGAGGCAAGAGAAACGAGGCCCTGGGTCAAGGGTCAACGCGATTTCAAGGCAAGCCAAGTTTCTGCGAAGAAATGTTGTTTCATAATTGTTGAGCTTACTTCCATTTTGAGTGAAAGTGTTGGCTGAAGAGATTTTGATGATGTCCGTCATAA